TACCTTAAAATTAGCATCTGGACACCGCACTATATTTAGCCGTACTTTATAAACTCGCCGTTCCCAAACCCATGCAGCAGTGGTAATAGCAGCACACCCAGCTTCATCGAATCAATGAAACATCATGTAATGGATTTTGTAGTGCACTCCGCTTCACATTTTAAGCAGCCTACCTCTTCATTTACTACGCATTTCACGGAGAGGATGCTTTAGATTCCGGCGGAGGGTTTTGGAGCTACCGCCGAGTGTCACTGGGCCAGTTCTTGTAGAGAGAAGTACCTCCCCCCGTTCTCTCCCTCTCTCCACAAACATCATTTATTAATCCATTTCACGCAGCCAGCAGTCATTATGCACGCCGCTGTCAATGGCCATCTCTCTTTGCATTTGTTTGATAATAAGCGAGAGAGGGAGGGGTGGAAGATAAAAGCCTTGCCTTGGTTCATATTTCCCCCCTTTTGCTATAGGGAGGTGTTTTGGCGTAGACTACAAAAAATGTGTTTGCAAATGATTTTGTATGGCTGGATTTTTGTCTTCATTTTAATACTGTATCGCCAGGTTTGTTTTACATTACATCAGATTCAGTTTATTTGCCATTTGCAGCTAAACCACATTGGAATAGATATATAGTGGAATAGATGTACAGTGCCCCAGAGTGCACCAGACAAGTATCACATAATATAATTTAATATAGAATTTGTTTTGCAGCTGGAAAATGAATTAAGGATTGTGAAAACATATTTATTTCAGAAAATATGGTGATTTTTTCTCATATCATACTTTAAAACCCATTTTTCTTATTTCAGTTAGATTAATTAAAAACAAGCAAATTTTTTGTGTTCTATGTGTTTTTTATTCATTTATTGTTTGTCGTTTTGTTTTGCTTACGTCTCATTTACCTGCGTATAATTTTCCTATAGGTTCAAAATACACTTGCACTGAGATACACGTTGATTTTAAAGTACCGGTAGTTCTAAATGTATTTAATACATTTATACAGGACTCATACTTGATATGGGTTGAATGTCTACATTTAAAGCTGGTTGTACCAAGATATGTAAAAGTAAAATATTTTGAACAAATCAGATCGCAACGTGCTGTCTTCATCATCTTAGAACTATACTTCTTGGCATACTTGTAATAAAGAGCCCTATGAGTCACTATTGGACTTTTTGAGTTGAGTGCTGATTGGTCCTCTCTTTTTCACTTCTCTGCCTGAAAAAGCTGATCGAAAGCTATGATAGAAGCCAAACGCAAACATGTGAAAACTAGTGATGGAAGCAAACTACAGCGAGGACCTGTACATATAGGTAAGACATATTTTATCACATAGTTCCATTCTTTGGTGGTTTGAAAATAAGGTACCACAGCTTTAAATATAATCCCTGATCCAGGTTGTGAAACGGATCACCTCCAAAATGTAAACTTTTGGTCCATGTCCCATTTCCGAGCTCTCTTGAAACCAGAGCAAAACTAACCTCTGTGGCAGCAGTTATCGGAGTTTAACTATTCTACATCACACACCATTTCGAGTTTGAATAATGTACAATATTATCATAATTAATTGTTAGCAAATGAGTTGATAGAAAATATAGTGACATTTGATAATATTAGATGTACATTGACTCGATATAAATAAACATTCAACTCAACTCAGCAGAATAAGTTCCAGAAATAGAACTGAAGAGTACAGACTTTAAAGACTTATGAATGGGTAAAATGCCTAGAAATGGGTTTAGGATTTAATAAACTTAATAAATTGTCACAATTGTTTTACATGCATAATGTTTAAGAAGAAGGTCCTTTATTTGTCCCACAATGGGGAAATTTCCGTTTAATGCATACACATACACAAATCAAGGCAAGCAGCGACTTTTGCGCTCCTTATAGGCAAAGTGGGTTAAGTGTCTTGCCCAAGGACACAACGACAGCCGACATCAGTGGAGTCGGCGGAAAGGTCTCGCAGTGGGCTCGAACCCACGACCTTCGAGCTCACAGGCCAATGCTCTACCAACTGAGCCACTGTCGCCACTTGGGGCCCCGACTATAAGCTACTGTAATGTAGCTTCCTGGAGTTCCCTTTCACAAAACACCCACCAACTTTACAAATAGAATGTGTATGACTGGTATGACTATGAAGTTTTGCAAATACAGAGAATTGAATTGAATCGACTATAACAAATCTATCCAAATTGATACAACAAAATCTAGAATAATAACTTAAATGTGAGTTAAATCCAGCCTGATAAATCTCCCGTGTTTGCGGCAGTGCAGACGGAGCAGCCAGCCCTGTGTGGGAACAGCTCTGGTCCGCTCTAAGCCTGTCTGGAGGCAATCAATGGAAATTAGTCTGCACTAAAGATTCACTTCCTCTGCGCAGATTTGGCTGGTGTCACGGGCAGCGGGATGTGTCTTTGAAGGGGGATCAAGGGGCGGGGGACAGAGACGGGTGGGGGGATTAGCCAGAGACGGGGTGAGGTGCGGAGGAGTTCATTTCAGGGCGGGGGGAGAAAGCAGAGGCAAGGATGCTATTTTTGGGAAGAGATGAAAAGACAATATGTGGGGTGTATTAAAGAAGACGTCTCAGGCTCTCACAAGTTGATGGATGAATTTGGACTTCAGATGATTTTATGACTGCGGAAAGGGGTTATCCTGTTTAATTGTATAGCACAGTTTATACACAAGGCATCTCAAAGTGCTGATTCAAACAAGAGAAGAAGGCATTAAAACTATAACTAATAGCAAGACGGTTGTGTGTACAGATAAACTGAACTATTGTTTTGTTTACCTGAATTTGAACATTGTTGGATTAAAAGCCTGTCTCACATTTTCAGGAAGACTGTTCCAGATTGTAGCTGCATAAAATCTGAAATGTCGCCTCCCCATGTTTGGTTTAATTGTACATTTAGCATGTAAATCTGCCGTTGTTATTTCATGAATCTTGACAATTCATATTTTAATGCAATCTTCGTCTTGAGTCTTTCAAGATTTAAATGGTACGAACAAGTCTCAGGTGTACTTTGGTCAGATGTGTCACAAGTCAAAACATATATGCGAAATTGAGAGTGAGAAATTAGTTAGATTTTAGTTTTTGGTTGAAAGGTAGGTTTTTGAGGTATCGCAGCTTGAAATACATTTATTTTTGCCTGTTGTATTCACACAACTCATAGAATACTGTACAATGCTGTGTAATGTGATGCTTATACCAGACTGTTTATGTTGTGATGAATTTATTTTTAATCTACTTTTGTACATCTGTTGATTTAATTACCACTGACCCCAAAGGCTGTGTTTAAAAGCAGATGCATTTAGGTGTTCAAATTCAACCTAATTCGATAACGCAATGTATATTATATTTAGTTTATTAAGCAGAGGAGGCACAAGGCTGGAACAAACATATTTTTGCGAGGCGGTAAAGACCAAACGAGAACTGGTCTGTCAGGGCCATGACTTATTAGCCTGTACTTTTTTAGCACTCCATGGCTTTCTTTCTGGAAAGATTGTGTAAAGCTCATGTTTTTAGATGTATTTGGATTGCTGTGATGTAATTGAGTTTTAGGCTTTATGAATAAAATGACTATACATGCGTGGACTGAACCCAAACTGGAACAAAAGTAAAGAAGGCCTGTTATTGCTGAATGATACACTGAAGTTAAGTTAAGTTACGATAGAAAAAGGTACAGTACTCGCTGGGCTATTAATCAAACCTGTAAGTAAAGTTAAAAAAATTAAAAAATTATTTAATCCACATATGAGTACAAGCCTGAGGTTTTGTAATACATGAGCAAACCAACAGCTGATGGAGAAAAACGAAGCTGATTGATGACTCACTTTCATGAAGAGGTGAGGACGAGGCAGACATTACATCACGTTAGCATGCTACCTTCACTGTTAGCCTCCAAGTCGGGACTCATTCATCTATTTTGACAATACACGTGCAAGCTATTACTCCTGATACTGGATTGAGACAAAATAATAAGTCCATAAACTCTCTTCTGGCGTCTGTCCTCGTCTTGTGTATTTGGTGCATCTCTTGTGTCGACTGCACTGTTCACATAAACATAAACTACACCCCTGGGATGGGATTATGGTCCAGCAATTACGGAATGTGGTTGTTTTGTTGACAATATTAGCTATTGCCATGATAGCCCATATTACCATGTTACCACCAATTATTCTATTTTACGTGGAACCATACTCTCGGGGTACGCAAGGTTGGGAAGCACTCACTATACTCACTCATTAGAAGTTAGTTATTCAATCACAAAGCATCATCATCAATATTTTTGTCTATTTTGACATGTGCGGTTTCACCAGCAGACATGGGATTTTTTTCTTTCTCCAAAGCAGCCAAATAGTGGAACCTAGTGGAATTTACACTTCTAGCGTTATACGCGCGTATGACGGATCGTTTTTTTTCTTTCATAAAGTCTTGCGTCTGGCCAAACCAGCGCACAGAGACCATGACGACAAACACATGCATGTGATTTGTGTTGCTCTACATCAGTCCTCTGGCCCGTACTGTCCTCTACACTACTCCATAGACTACACAGGGACAGCATCAGAAGACGCGGACCTGCGCGCACGGCCTGTGTAGATACTCCAAAAAAATGTTACGCGCAGAGAGCGCGAGGTAAACACGTACGCGCTGTTTACGCCTACTGTGTAAATTCCCTGTTAGTACTCATTGCATGTGCATTCTTGGTGTTCAAAACTTGCCAATATTTTTTTATGAAATAATTTTTTTTTCACTTTTGAATTTGAGGATTTCTACCCGCCTTTTTATGCTTCTTTTCTGTTACTTTCACCAATGAGTAAATGAGTAAGGGTCAGTAAGGGTATAAACCATAAATAAATGACTTGCTTTTAATAAAACTGGTAAAAAGCTAATAATTTCTCAGATTTTGGAGCAGTCCAAATGTTGTTCTAGAAGTTTCAGAATTCTGGGTGTCCAGGTTTTACAGTAAGTATATATTTATTCTTCAGAAAGTTATTCTTCACCAATGTTTCCCATCAACGACAACAAACCTGTATCGTCCTTTGTTTCTTTTACCTCTCTCCTGTTTACCAGCGCACCCCTGAACACCTCCACCTCTTTTACCACCATAACATTGTCTCCCAAAAAAGCCGCAGCCCAGGGACCAGAGCCAGACCCCGCAGGCGACAGAAGGGCCCTCCGACTTCACACCGCTCCCTCCAGGGGGCCCCTACGGCGGCTCCCGGAGGAGACATCACCGGCCCGACAGCGCGCAAACAAAACGGAAGAAGACCAGAGAGAGGAGATGCAAGCGGTCGGGAGGCGCTAATTGGGAGGTAAAGCCGAGTGTCCTGGACGGAAGGATGGACGGAGAGAAAGAGAGAGAGGGTGAGGAGTGGAGGAGCCTGGGGGGGTGTGGCGGGGCCTTGGGGTAAAAATAGCGAACGGCAGATTAACGAGCATCTGAGAGCGGGACGGGGATCAGGAAGTCCTGCCTGCATGCGTAGGAGGAGGAAGAGGAGGAGGAAAGACCCAATGTATGACCAGTAAACGAAGTATTATTCTGCAAAAAGAGATTAAAATGGCTAAAATTTGGCCAAAAAGGGTCTTAATTCAAGCACATTCTTAACAAGATTTGCCAATGGGACAAGCAAAATGATCTCGTTTTAAAAAGATTCAAGAAATGTCTCCCTTGGAATGAAAAATGAAGGACAGAATGTACACTTGAAAAGCACTTGATTTAAGCTTATTTAATTATGAATTCATATTAAATCATCTTTTGCTATGTGCGATTCGTCCCTTTTGGAACAAAAGGTTCTATAAAACTGCTGCTTCTAAATATAGTTGTTGTTAGCTTTGGTAAGATTTAGCTCTAAAAGATTTAAAGCTGGGGTAGCTAATGTTTCTGTTTCATAAATAATCCGTACAGTTCGTCCCAACAGAAGTTTCCTTGTAAAATGTTGGGAACAAATCAGACCAAAAAATGTCTTCATCTTATAAAAAACATGGCATCAATTGCATACTTGTAAGAAACAGCCCAGTGAGACACAATGTTGATGCTTTGGGCTGATTGGCCGATTCTGCCTGAAAAAGCTGATCTGAAGATGTGACAGAGCCCAGAAAGACATGCATTTTTTGTGGATTGAAAATTTGATACCCAATAATCCTTCCTGTAGATCAAGGGTCTCCAACTCTAACCTTTCCCCCCAAAAAAGCTGCTAGTGCCGTGATGGGAGACCTCTGGCAACATCAGGTGCCACAGTGGGTCGGCTGCGGCTGTAAAGTGCTAAACTGCTTTTGTGTCCTTAGGCAAAACACTTCACCCACATTGCCTAGAATGAGTCTGGTGTGTGTGTGAATAGTAACATACTGGTTGCCTTGCTTCTGTCAATGTGCCCCAGGGCAGCTGTAGCTACAGGAGTAGTTTTTCACCACCGTGTATGGAGTGAATGAATAATGACATCTTTGACTATATAAAACCAATGCATTATTATTATTATTATGAATTTGAATTACTGTATTTTCTCCTTTTGTAGATAGTTCTTAGGGTACCTGGGATTCTAAGTGTAAGTAAACATTTATTCTTCCGGAACAATGGATAAAAGCCGTTCTCATGCCCTCTTCTAAAGGCAGAACGCCAACCTTTAGACCCACAGAACGAAGCCAATTATCTCCCAGCCTTTGTCCTCTGCACCTTCACCAGAGCAGTCACCTCACCTCGCGTCTATGGTCCCGGCGGAGTGTTCACACGCCAGGTGGAACGGGTGACACCTGAGGGAGACACGGGGGTGACACCTATGGGAAGCCGAGGAGGAGGCCTTCTCACACCTGCTCCCTGGTCCCGCGAGATCTGTCACAACACGATGTGACAGACAATCCGGGCCTGGGGTGAGATCAAACAGCCATAATGTGTCACTTCAATTATGAATATGTCTCCACGTGTCACCATTTCTCTGTATATACACACAAACAGTTGGTTTTCCTTTTTTGCATATAAGCACAATTCCTGTCTTTTTGCACACCCTATTTATGCCAGATAATTTTCTCCATTGTGAGATCAACTAAATGTCATCTTATCTTATCTGTTTCAGTTCAAATCAATTCCATTTATGTATTTTGGTTGATTCATCGCCAACAACAGATCAGAGAATCAAACAGTTAGATAAACAGGAAATGCAATCAAAACAAACAAACGCATAGGAGCCATTGGTCCACAGGGAGCGGGGTGACATGAGTCTAGCTGGAGGCTAATCCAGACTACAGCGCCAAAAGAGTTTTAATCCAGGAGAGGAAGAAAGGTAAGGGTGGACCCGGAATCTTGGTTCAGGGTGATGACAAAGGGTGGTAACTATACAGTATATCTATATATTTATTGTAGTTTAATAGTTTATGTTAATCAACCAAAGTTGTGCAGACAGAGAAAAACCAAATTCTCTGGAACAGAACAGACATTGGACTGAACTCAATCCCATTAAAAACAACAGCTTCTTTATTATGCTAAAGCTAGAGATTTCATACTTGCTTCTTTGTCATGCTAAAATGAGAGATTTTATTTCATTTTTGAACAGACACTACACAAATGTATTGAACCTATAAGCCAAAAATTACTTGGTCTTGGCTTTTCTTCAATTACAATATAAATTTGTAAATGGCACCCCACCATTTTTCTTTTTGACATTAAATCACATACAAAAATAAAGTTAAAATATAATTTTAAATCATAAATAAATCAAATTGATAATGAATACACAAAGTTTGCACAGCTAAATTTCAGCAGGTGGATTGCTTGTATAAGTATTTAGAAAGATTCTGGAAACAAAAGTTGGAGTGATTAAGATTGAGAGATTCGTTATCCGTCCCACAGTGGGGAAATGTCAGTGTTGCATCACCAGTCACAGAACAGTGGGAATAAGGAGCACACAATACAAGATAAAAGAACGATAACTCAAATAAAAACAATACATTTAGCATGATGAAGAATCAAGTAGCAAAAATCACTAGCTATAGTGAAAAGAAGCAAATCTAAAATCTCCAACATTAGCATAATAAAGAAGCAAGAAGTAAGTATAAAATCTCTAACTTTAGCATAATATCGTACTTTCTATGTGTAACAGTAAACCATTCTATGTGTAAATGTAATCTAATCTGCACACTGATTTTAGACAGATGGAAGTAGGTCCACTTAAGTCCCTAAAACTACTCCCTAAAATGTTTGCACCCTGAAGAAGGCCAAGCTAGGTTGAACACGCATTTTAATCTACTGCCAATGAGAATATAAAGGCTTTTTAAACTTTCTAAACTATTGACCACGAATGCCTTGGATTTTTTTGATTTTCTAAAATCTTCACAATTTGCCTTTTACCTGGAAAGTCAATTTAGTCATTTTACACGCTTGTACCACGCAGCACTCCTTACCCTTTGCCTTTTGAGAAATAATAATAATAATAATAATAGTCCCTAAAACGTTGTCCACCTCTGGAGAAAACCACCACCAGAAAACCAAGACGGGCCAGATCTTTGTGACCTTCTGGACCTTTGCCTTTTGGCCTCGTTATATCTGTAGTCTATACTTTTGTCTCTAAACGTCTGCAGTTATACTACAGAAGACTGTCTTCTACATAATCACCATTTGTCTGGGAACACAAGCTGTGAAATGATATCCTCCATCTTTACAACCAGCAGTAATGTTTGTGAGCCGCGGGAATCGCAGCATTATCTGCCTCTGTGTGGAAATCTTTCAGCAAACGGAGAAAATGTGTGCGAAGGAAATGAAGGAAGAGCAACTGCTTATACTGTCAAAATATTGTCATTGTCAATCGTTTGTAGAATACGTATGCTTTCCTTTTTTCGTAAACTGTGACGACTTGCATGAGGGAGATTTCTCAGAGCAATATCATGGACAGTGGCTTGATTTTACAACAAGAATGAAAACAATTTTGCATATATTGCGAAATTGTATCGCAATTTTTGTTTTTTCGTGATGACACTCCAACCCCAAAGGTAACATTTTAAAACAGCACAAAAAAAATCAAGATATATGAATTGGAATTGATATCCCAATTAAAAAAAAAAAAAAAAAAAAAACTGAAACTGACGTAAAAGCTGGCAAAAATTAGCCAAAGTAAGCCTCATTAGAACGAGTTAGCATGAGATGAGTTTGCCACATTAGAACGAATTAGCTCGAGGTCGCCACATTAAAAAGTAGAGTAGTTTTCTCTCAAGCTTTAGCTAAAGAGCGGATGATTCTCTTTCATTCTCAAGAGACACAAAAACGACCTGATTCACTTTGTTACGTAGCACACTTTCACACGCAGCTCCAGTTCCTGAAGCCACGCCTCTAATAAAAGACGCTAACGAGGCGCCTATCTGTAAGTACAGTGCAGCTAACTCGACGTATTCTACTGTTCACTAAAAAATTAGGGTCTTATTCTGGATCGAGGACCTAGAACTCTATGTGACGGATTGTTATTGTTTAGAAAGACATGCATAGAAGCAGAGAAGCAGCCGTCTCAATAGAAGTGAAATAACCTGCAGGAAATGGCTTTTATAAGTTTTGAGAGTTGTATGGTGTATCATTGAAATTTGTTTTGTTTTTATATATTTGTTTTTAATTTAAATTATTTTCCCTTATTTTTTCCTTTCTGTTATTTTTATTTCTGTTCTACTGTCTGAGAATTATAATATATTTGATCATCATTATTGATAAATATATACTATAAAGCTGCACTAACTGACTTTATTTTCGTATTCATTACAAAAATGCTATCCATGTCCATGTAGTGCATTGGGATATACGTCATTTTGAAGAAAAGTAGCGCAGATTTGTGCTGGCCTGACATTATATTTTAGATCGAGTTTTGATGAAACAAGGAAGAGAATGTGTTTCGGGTCGCAGATTGTGACCAATCACAGCGGACCACTAGCCCCCACTTTTGTGAGAAATCTCCAGGTCCGTTAGCATAGACGGCTGAGTTAGCACAACAAGCGGCGGAGCTAACCTGAAACTTCCTCGTCTTCGTCACCGGTTACTGCTTACACAGCGAAACAGCCATCCAAAAGAAAGTCTCGTTCCTCCGCGCTTCCCGGTTCTATCGTTCTATGGTCACGCCATCCACGTGCAAATCCATGTCCATGTATTATCCATATTGGGAGACGCTAGCTCCGTCAACAACAGTGGGTGTGTGTGGGGGGCCATAGCTACGTGGGTGCGGGGAGGGGAGCAGAAAGAGCGAGGCCAGCGAGTCTGCGGCTTCAAAATCCCAAAGTCAGTTAGTGCAGCTTTCAGATATTGTTCCAATCATTCCACACACGGTGATGACGGAAGCGAGT